ATATATTTATCTGTTTCAGAGCACGCCATTAGCACCGTTCTAACCCGAGAAGAAAATGGTATTCAACATTCAGTTTATTACGTAAGCAAAGCGCTTCATGAAGCCAAGCTCAGATATTTAACTGTAGAAAAATTGGCATTCACCCTGCTGATGGCACCGCGAAAACTGAGGCCATATTTTTTGGAACATCCCATTGAGGTCTTGACCAACTCTCCATTGAGACAAATGCTACAAAGACCCGACACCTGTGGATGGATGGTAAAATGGGCAGTGGAGCTCGGATAATTCGACATCAAATATACGCCTCGTTCCTCCATAAAGGGCCAGGCACTCGTCGACTTTGTCTCTGAGTTCTGCAACGTCTCAATTGAAGAACAACAAAAAGAAACCCCTTGGAAACTTTACGTCGACGGTTCATCCACCGGAGAACAATCTGGAGACGGTGTCATATTAATCAGCCCTGATCACCGCATGTTCTGTCAAGCCTTGCATTCGACTTCAAAGCCTCAACTAATGAAGCTGAGTACGAATCTCTTATTGCTGGAGCAAGGATGGCCTCAGGATTAGGGATCTCCGACCTAATCCTGCACAGCGACTCCCAACTAGTCGTGAATCAGGTCAACGGTGTATATATGGCGAAAGAAGACAGGATGGACAACTACCTACGAGTTGTAAAAAAAGAACTTGAAAGGTTCAAAACCACCCAAGTCAAACAAATTCCTCGATCTCAGAACAATCATGCCGATGCATTGGCTCGCCTAGCCACTAGTGAGGGAATCGAGGAATTCGATAGCATTCCCGTAGGAAGAATATCCCTACCGTCTACCGAGCTGGATAAAGTGGTCCTGATGATGATAGACCCCAAAGCAACTTGTCAAGATGAGATCATCTCTTACTTGAAAATCGAAAAATACCCCGAAAACCCTGCAGAGGCTAGAAAGCTCCGAACAAGGTCGGCTAGATATACTCTCATTGATAATATACTATAAAAACGGGGATATTCCACGCCCTTGTTAAGATGCTTGAACGGAGAGGAAGCCCAGCATGCCCTGTAAGATGTTTACGAAGGAATATGTAGAAACCATTCCGGCGGACTCTCACTGGTCCACAAGATCGTACGACAAGGATACTTTTGGCCTGCAATAAGACAAGATTTCCTTGAATATGTCAAAAGATGCGATAAGTGCCAGTGCCTCGCCCCCTCATAAACACTCCATCGCGCGAACTAAACCCAGTGACAGCACCTTGGCCCTTTGCAAAATGGGAGGTTGACCTAATTGGACCCATGCCCGTTGGGAAAAGAGGTGTGAAATTTGCCATCGTCGCAGTGGACTATTTCACTAAATGGGCCAAAGCAGAGCCCCTTGCCACCATCACCGAACAGAAAACAACCATTTTTTTGTGGAAATCAGTGATCTGCAGGTTCGGCATACCTCACTCCATTGTTACGGATAATGGAAAACAGTTCGACAACGCACGACTTTCGAATTTCTACGAAGATCTTGGCATCAAAAAACATTTCTCATCACCAAACCATCCACAGGCAAATGGCCAACTCGAAGCCATTAACAAGATTATTAAGTACACATTGAAAGCAAAACTTGACTTGTTAAAAGGAGGATGGGCTGAGGAACTCCCCCAGTGTGTTATGATCTTATCGTACTACCGCAAGAACAAGCACTGGAGAAACCCCGTTTTCAATGGCTTTCGGCGTAGAGGCCGTGATCCCACTGGAAATCAACATTCCTTCGCTACGCATAACTGATTACGATGAAGAAAGGAACCACATGGCTCTTCGCACGGAGCTCGACCTAACCGAGGAAAAATGGAACAACGCCAAACTCAAGAATACCGTTTACAAACAGCAAAACGCCAAGTACTATAATCAAAAAGTGCGAAAAAGAGAATTTGAGGTAGGATCCCTCGTCTTACGAAAAGTATTCCTCCCCACAAGAGAGATCGACAGCGGATGCCTAGGTCCGAATTGGAAAGGTCTCTATCTGATAACGAAGGTCCTGCTAAAAGGAGCACATGAACTGGAAGACTTGGAGAGTAGATCCTTACCCCACCCTTGGAATGTTGAACACCTTAAACAATACTCCCAGTAAACGGAAAAAGTCCCCTTGTAACGTCAATTACATCAATAAAAAGGGACTTTCTATTTCTTTTGAACATTTTGCTCAGCAATCTGTCAGAATCTTATTAAACCATGCCTCATATGCAGGCCGATCTAAGGTCGTATGTGCTACGACACTTAGTGGAAGATTCTTCCTAAGGAACCTCATTAAGCCCTACTTCATATGCAGGTCGATCTAAGGTCGTATGTGTTGCGACACTTAGTGAAAGATTCCTCCTAAGAAACCTCATTAAGCCCTGCTCCATATGCAGACCGATCTAAGGTCGTATGTGCTGCGACACTTAGTGGAAGATTTTCCCTAAGGAATTTCCCCTCCTAAGGCATCTATAGAGCCCTGCTCTTCAAAGTTGGACGAGCTAAGGCCGTATGTGGTACTACACTTGGCACAAATGCCCAACGTATATGCCTGATTCGGAAAGCGCGTACCGCACAACTAAGTGAAATTCATTTAAAGTAATTCTACACACTATTGTAACACTCTTACAATTTTTGCTAAGTCTGTGAGAAAAAGCCGTACTGAACATAAACAAATTATCCATTTCAGAAGACTGTGAGAAAAAGCCGTATTGAACATAAACAAGTTATCCATTTCAAAATTAAAACATCGTAAACAGTCAAAATGAAGTTCGAATCACAAGTCTTAAAAACACCTAAGGGCCTTGGGGGGTAGGGGTGGTATCTCCAACATCCTGAGTTTCCGGTAACACCCGGACTCCGGCAGACTCCGACAACTTTCGCAACTCCTCCTTTTGTCCCTTCAGTGCCTCATCCAGAAAGGCCACATCAAGATCGGGCCTCTCCTTCCTGATGTGCCCTA